TTCTGCACCAAGGGTAATCATTGCCGATAACTTATGTAGTCATCTGTCGCTCAGAGTTAATAAATTGTGCGAAGAAAATGATATTAGGTTTTGTTTTTTGCCGCCGAATTCAACCCATTTAACACAGCCACTTAACGTCTCTGTTTTTGGCCCAATGAAAAAGGTTTGGAGGTCAACTCTACAAGATTGGAAAAAGAATACAAGGGTTCTTTGCCGAAGGAGTCTTTTTCGAGTTTACTAAAACGTGCTATAGACAAATTAGGAGGGACTCTAAGTCAGATTATTAAAAGCGGATTTCGTGGAACGGGAATTATTCCACTTGATAGGACTCAGGTTTTAAAACGATTGCCACAAGAAAGAAATCTCGAAGAGGACGGTCTTAATGCCTGGACGGAGTCTGTTGTAGAATTGCTTAACGAAAGCAGAAATGCTTGCAAACCAACAGTAGCAAGGAAAAAGAAAATTCAAGTGGAGCCAGGCAAAAGCTTTTCAATAACAGATTTTTTAGAACCGCAACTGTCAACAAGCAATACTGTAGTGCCTCAAGAGAATGAAACTTCGGAACATGAGTCAGAACTTGAGTCAGAACCGGAATTAGAAATAATGGAACAGGAAGAGTGCTTTAAATATGTGCAGCCTACTATGGAAAACATCGCAACTGACAACTTTGTAGAGGTTGAATTTAAAACAAACAAAGTGAACAAATATTTCATCGGGCAAATTAAGGGAGTCTTTGATGAAACTTTTGAAGTTAAATTTCTTAGATCTAACAGAAAGATAAAAAATTGCTATATCTTTCCCACAGTGGATGACATATGCATGATTAGCTTGGAACAAATTGTGAAAAACTGCCTAAACCAACTAAATTGCGACGAGGAGGCTACGAATTTCCTTTGCAAATGAAGCTAAAATCCTATGCACTTTAAAACTATAAAATAAAGGCTATTTCCAAATTTCATTGTTGTTTTTTTTACCTTTTATATTAAAAAATAAATAAAAAATAATATTTTAATTTATTTTTGTCCCGATTAACCCCATACTCGAGGTGACATGCACATTGCATGGCTTGAAATAGCGTGTCCCGATTCGCCCCAAAACGGAGTCAATCGGGACACACTATATTATATTTTTTTTTAATTAATTTATTCAAATCAGATAATTATCCAATTAGGCATTCCAAACAAATGAATTACCAGTGGGCAGGTTTGGTATATCTAAGGGTGGCGACATATGGTTTATTCTATCTACTTTACGTAAAATCATGAATAATGGATTACATTTAAATATTTTATGTCAAACACAATAAAAATAACATTTAAAAAACCCACCTATACATTTCTTCTTAAATTGGCAGGCTTGGCAAGTACTACTTCGAATAAAAATAGCGTCCAAGTGGCAAGACTATGTCGCTAACCCCTTAAATATACAAAAATTTCCCACTGGCACCTATTGTTTGACAGGTCGTTGGAATGCCTAATACATATTTCAGCAGCCGTATTGACTACGATCACTTTCCCCTAAATTTTAATTTTCTTCGATAGTTTTAGAAGAAAATAATAATAATATCTAAAAATCGTCCCGATTCACCCCGTTTGACGGTACTGTAGCGCCATCTGTGGGTAATAGAGAATACTACAACTACCTATTTCCGCTTTTGATCACTAGATTTCGTCAAGGGTCACGATCCTACCAATATACAATAGAAATTCAACTTGCGAATTTAGCAATTGTATGCACCTCTCTTAAGCTAGCAGGGCCAACTAGGCAGAATCGATTAAAATCTATTACATTATTTAGTACCTATTTTGTATTAATTTGTATTACCAATAAAAATTTTGCAGCATGTGCTGTTCTCAAAAAAAAAAAAAACGTGGCGCTGCTAGGTTAATATTAAGATAGCAGGAACACATTATAAAAATAAAATAAAAAATAAAACAAAGGTAGAATTAAAAAGAACTGATTTTGTACCACCAATCAATTTTTTGTACTGTGTACCGTTTATAAAAAAACACATGGTGCTTCTAGTTTAAAATTAAGCTAGAAGGACCACATTAAAAAAATAAAATAAAAAATAAAACAAAAGTAGAATTTAAAAGAAATAAATTTGTACCAATTTGTACCACCAAAAAATTTTTCGTACTATGTACCATTTACAAAAAAAAACACATGGTGCTTCTAGTTTAATATTAGAATAGCAGGACCACATTGAAAAATATAAAAGTAGAATTAAAAAGGACTGATTTTGTACCAATATATACCATTAAAAAAACCTAATTTATTTAATCAAACTTCCCGAAACAACTTTCAAATTAATCCAAATTTGTTATAATTAAAAAAAAAGTGACTTCTTGCAGAAAAAGAATCTATTGCTATTTTTGCAAAAAGCACAACATAATTTGTACCGTTAAAATATAAATTTTCAGAATATGCACCCCTGCCGTTCCTATAGAAACTATCCTAAATTCATATTCCTACTAAACAGCAAAATCAATCGTTATTTCTGCAATAACAGTACCATAATTTGTACCGTTAAAATTTAAATTGTTAGAATCTGTATCCCTGCCGTTCCTATAAAAACTAACCCAAACTCATATTGGGCTCAAGAGTAAAGTACATTTTTGAACGAACAAAATCAATAGTTACTTCTGCAATGAAAGTAACATAATTTGTACCACTAAAATATAATATTTTAGATTTTGTACCCCTGCCGTTCCTATAGAAACTAACCTAAACTCATCTTAGGCTCAAAAGTAAAGTACCTTTTTGCAAGACCAGAATTAATAGTTACTCCTGCAATGAAAGTAACGTAATTTGTACAACTAAAATATAAAATTTCAGATTTTTTACCCCTGCCGTTCCTATAGAAACTTACCTAAACTCATATTAGGCTCAAGGGTAAAGTACCCTTTTGCACAAGCAGAATCAATAGTAACTCCTGGAATAAAAGTAACATAATTTTAACCACTAAAATATAAAATTTCAGATTTTGTACCCCTGCCGTTCCTATAGAAACTAACCTAAACTCATATTAGGCTCAAGAGTAAAGTACCCTTTTGCACAAGCAGAATCAATAGTTACTCCTGGAATAAAAGTAACATAATTTTAACCACTAAAATATAAAATTTCAGATTTTGTACCCCTGCCGTTCCTCTAGAAACTAACCTAAACTCATATTAGGCTCAAGAGTAAAGTACCTTTTTGCATGAGCAGAATCAATAGTTACTCCTGCAATAAAAGTAACATAATTTGTACCACTAAAATATAAAATTTCAGATTTTGTACCTCTGCCGTTCCTATAAAAACTAACCTAAATTCATATTAGGCTCAAGAGTAAAGTACCCTTTTGCACAAGCAGAATCAATAGTTACTCCTGCAATGAAAGTAACATAATTTGTACCATTAAAACATAAAATTTCAGATTTTGTACCCCTGCCGTTCCTATAGAAACTAACCTAAACTCATATTAGGCTCAAGGATAAAGTACCCTTTTGAGAGAGCAGAATCAATAGTTACTCCTGCAATGAAAGTAATATAATTTTTACCTCTAAAATATAAAATTTCAGATTTTGTACCCCTGCCGTTCCTATAGAAACTAACCTTCACATATATTTCTTTTGACCTTACTACAAAATAATATTGCTGTGGTTTTAGATGGATTGACTATTAAGTTACGTTCTCTGGAAAATTGAAAAATGGCATCTAAATCCATATTTATATTGTTATTGGTATTAGGAATATCTGCAGGTTCAAAAGAATGAACAATCTGTGTGTCGTCAGCTTGCAATTGTATTTCACTATTTCTAAAAACTTCTGGCAACTCTGAAGTATATATAAGGAATATAAAATGCATCCTTGAGGCACCCCTGAGACAATAAATTTGGAATTTGAAAAGCTACCATCAACGCATACACGTTGACTACGTTTCCATAGATAGGACTTAAAAAATGATAGTGCAGGATCATCTAAGCCATAGTATTTCAGTTTTGCACAAAGTAAGTCGTGGTCAATTAAATCAAAGACTTTGAAATAGTCTATTGTAATTAGTAGTAAACCCAATTTTTTATCAACAGATCTTATAATATTGTCAGTTAAATTTGATAACGCAGAAGTAGTACTGTGATTTTTGCAAAAGCCAGACTGCTGAGTGGGTATGATATTGTTGTTTGTAACATAGTCATATAACTGTATATACACAACTCGTTCAAGTATTTTGGATAAGACAGGTAAAAGACTTATTGGACGTAAGTCACATACGGTATTAGGATTAGCTATTTTTAGGTATGGGACAAACTACTGATTCTCGCCACATTTTCGGAAATTAACCATACTGTAAACAACAACCAATAATGTGGGTAATGTTTCTTTATTGATTAATCTAGGAGGAGTAACTTTTTGAATGAAATTATTAGTTATTACAAGAAATATAGAGAAATGCTTTTAGTTGTATGCCACATGGTTATTTTACGTTTATTTTCTACCGGGTGAATTTTTATTTTATCTTTTTCATTACTTCTAACTTATTTAAACTTCTTAAACTAAATTATGTTTCAAATCTGCTATGTTTTCACTTTTTGTTTTATATAATGAGATATTTTTTTTCAACATTTTTTTGTCGGTTAATTACATTTTAATTGCCTAATATTGTTTCTCCTATATCAATAGTATTTAATTTTTGATTTCAACTTTGGCCAGTCACGCAATGATGTAATAAATTACAAATTATAATAATTGAGAAATATGTGTTCAATTAATTGGTCATTAGAAAGTTAAACCAACCAGATGCAAATCAATTTATTTTGAAAAATCAAACGAGAATGTACTCGATAACAAAGAAACATTTATTAGTTTCAAAAAGTGATGCCTTTTTGTTTAAAGTTGTATATAACACTGCTGGTTTACTTGGTATTGTCCCATTGCAAATACATTTACTTAAATATGATATTCTGCTAGCTATTTATTTTGCTTTAGATATTATTGGTCTAAGTTGTTTGCCATTTGAGATGAGGAAAACGATAAAAAGATTACAAGTCCCAATACCAGGAGTACTATTAATTAGTTTGTCGGCAATTATAAGTTCGTTCATCCACATTCTTTCTATTAATGGTCTTTTCTATAGAAGCAAATCTTGGAAACGTTTTTTAGATTTGGTGGATAAAATGGAATATATATCTTATGTTAAAATTAATGTGGCATACCAGGTTACCAAATTCACGATCATAACATTTATAACAGTTTGGGCCCAACTATTAGCTTTTCGGTTTTTAATTCAAGAACTGAGTTTGGCTTCTATTTTTGCATGCGTAGTTTATTCTAAAATACTTCTTGAAGGAGTATTTTTAACTACGCTCATATGGATCGTAGCAAATATGTTGTCAAGAAGATATTGTCATTTGACTGAAGTTTTAAATATAACATTTCTCAATAAAGATCAAAACAAATTGTTCTTTCATAGAAGTGTTCTAAAAATTAAAAATGATTTATGGTTATTACATCAAGTTGTAGAGAAACTTAATGAGCTATCAGGAAAAATTATGTGGACGATGTTTGCAGCAACATTCAGCGTGGTATTATCAAATTTCAATTATGTTTTATTTTTGTCCGATTCAAACACAATTGGCAATGTTCTAGAACAATGTTTGCCAATTCTAGCACAAAATATTGTATTAATGGTAATTATATTTTTACGTTTTACATTTTTAATGAGTTAATTTCCTAACTTTAATTTAAGTATTTTAAAAACTTTTAATTCCATACAATTTTTCCATACATGGAAAAACAAGAACAATGGTCACAAAAAGAGCTCCACGGCCGACACCACCATGATATTAACCAGCCGCATATTGACAAGGAAGCATTTAATAAGTGACTTATTAATGATTCATTATTTCCCGAAACAGAAAGGTTCCTAATGGCCAGAGTTGGGTAGTATTCGAATACCCGGTATTCTGAATCTTATTCAGAATACATTTGGCTGGTATTCGAATACTATTCGAATACATTTGTGTTTTCTGTATTCGGTATTCCACTGAATACTTTTTTAGTCAGTACTCGGTATTTTGGATTCAGAATACCATTTTTGAATCCTAGTATTCGAATACCCACTTTGTATTCGAATCCTGGTATTCAAATCCAGTTTTCGATTAATGTTTGATTATTTCTATGAATATTGCGTTACGTGTTACGTTTAACTAAACTTAAGTGTATTAAAACACGTTACGTTCTCGGTGATTGTGAACGGCGCAGTCGCAGTGCTTCTGAATTCGCGATGCCGATGATCAGGTGATCGGGGTAAAAGTATCGATGCGCTAGTCATACGCTTAATCTTTTAGCAACGAGTGATGTAAACTCCCTAATAAACTCTAACATTTATTTGAGATCCCGAGATACAGCTATTTTAAACAAGAGCAATGGCTTTGGAAATGCGCTGCAAGACCCAAGAGTGAAGAAATGCTTCAAAAGATAATTGGTCATACTTTAAGTTAGCCAACAGTTACTCGCTGGAACTCGTTTTTTAATTCAATTTCTAAAATATTATCTATATCCAAGGATAACCTAACCAAACTATATAAAGAGTTAAACCTTAAAGAAAATCTTAAAGATGCAGATTTTCTTTATTTGCAAGAATATTTTGAAACCAATTGCTTAAACAGTAGATTTTCTACAAGGAGACACACATATTTTGGATATTTAATACCAAGTATAACTTCTTTAAAGACGAAACTGATTAAAGTTAAATCAAGCATGACCCTTAATAGGAGTATCAGCTTAATTTTAGAACACATAATTAATCGCGTCAATGACAGATTTAAACAGTACTTTGACCTTACAAAAACCAAAGCAAAAGATGCAATAATTGCTGCAGCAACTTGTCCGACTATTAAATTTCATCGCAGTTTGGATTAGACATTGAGGAATTAAAACATATTATTATTGATGCTGGTGTGGAATTCCAAATAGATATTCAAAAACCAGATTTTAATGGAGAAGAATCATTGCGCAATATTGATATTAAATTTTTCGAATTTGAAAGCGATTTAATTTCTCGGGATAATAGGGATAAACTAAAAGGAAAAAGTAAACTTAACCTTTTGCAATATCTTGAAGATAAAAGATTAGGTTTGGAAATGCTTAATGATTACCTTTCAATTAAACAAATATTTTTAAGATATAACTCCATATTACCGTCGTCTGCTTCAGTCGAACGATTGTTTTCTTTTGCGGGTATGGCTAATAGGCCAAAAAGTAAAAATTTAAGTGGCGATCTTTTTGAAATGTTGGTTTTGTTGAAGGCAAACGGGATAGGAAATGCTTTTTGATTGATGTTGTCTTTCTGATATCTAAGTACTAGTGCGTCGTTATGAATGTTATATTATATTTTATTTAAAACAAAAAGAATTTATTTTAAGTTATTTATTTATTTATTATTTAAGATTATTTTTCAAGGCAAGGATAGCTTCTTTTTCTAAGCAATTATATTGTATTACCTTACTGTGTTCCAATCTCCAATGAATGTACCAAAGAATGTATTTTAAGATTTATTTATTATACAGGGTGTCCGACGAGATACGCCTCGGAGCATAACTCCATAACGGTGCAATTTTCAAAAATTTTGTAAGAGTCCTTTTTTATGTATATTCAAAAAAGCCATCTTTTAAAATTAGTTTTAGAAAATTGCACCGTTGTGGAGTTATGGCCCGAGGCGTATCTCGTGGGACACCCTGTATAAGTAAGTAGGTTGTAGGGTATAGACATAGATATATAACCAAGACAGATAGGATTATTTACAAAATTTTTGAAGAATGAACGGTGGTGTCCGCGGTAGAAACTCAATAATCGGATTGAACATTGATGCCAAGTTTACGTGCTTTTAACTATAGATATATATAACCAATACAGATTACACAATTTCTGAAGTCAACGCGGATGATCCTCGACAAAAATGCAATATTTAGATAAAATTAAAATATTGATGCCAAGTTTGCGATGTTTTTAACTGTAGTAATGTTATTGCGTTTGCTTGAGTTACTGTTTGGTCTTTAAATTGTCAAAAAAAAATAATGTCTGACAACAGCGGAAGTAGAGTAGACCGCAATTGTGGAGGGTCGTATATTGTTTCATTCATAAAAATTCCTTCGATACAGTACTAGTCCAGGAGCCAGTGAATTTTTTCGTACTTGTTTTCCCGGTCCGCGTATATTTAAATAATTTATTCTTGGTGAACTGTATATTTAAAATGGAACGCCAATCTATTAACAAAAGTAAGCCAGATTGAATTCGCGCATTACGTCAAATCGATACAAGTGAGATTGTTTACAAAATGCCTTTGCATGCCTATTTTGCCCATTTCATGTATTTGTTTTTAAATCATGTTAAATTACTATTTTTGAAACTCAACAAGGAGAAAATCCAATTAACTCTTCCGTTGTGTATATATATATATATATATATATATATATATATATATATATATATATATATATATATATATATATATATATATAAGATAAATTAACTGAAGTTTTATTAGTAAAGTATTAATACTAAACTTTTAATGTAATTTACAGAAAATAGCTAGGTATAATTTGTTTTTAAATAATTTGATAATTTATGAAAAAAGGGAGTAAAAGTGGAATGACCAGTGGCCAGTAGGTCAGTCAATACAAAGTATCATATATTTCTTAACTAAAATACCTACATCTTTTAATCATAAGGACATAAGTTAAAAACCATTTTAATATATGCATTAGAATGAAGTAATAATAACTTAAAGAGACGAGGTCTTAAAGTAATAGCTGGTACAGCTTGTTTTTTAAACGTTTCCTCATTGCTGCTAGAATGAAATCACTTACTATGAAATGTGCTCTAAAAACGGCATTTATAGCAGTCAGTGTTCAGTTTTAGGATCTCTTCCTAAAGCCCTCATCCAAGCTGCATACATATTAAAAAATAATTAAAAAAAAAAACATATTATATACCTATATAGTTTTCGGTTCTGGGTGCCCTAAAAGAGGACACTTAGCCGACAAATGTCAAAAGTACAGTGTTTCCATGAAAATTTAGCTATGTTTTTAGCAGTATTATAGGACCATTTCTACCACGAGCATTCAACGATATTGGCGTTCCACAGTTCACTGTATTTTCCTCACCCCTCTAGTATAAATGAGTTGACATAACGAAACTAACAATAATTATAATTAACAATTATTATATAAAAGTGTAAAAGGAAATTTAAATTATTTTCCTATTTTCTTCTGTAATATCTTTAATTATTATGTTTAATTTCTATAAATAAACCAACTGGTTAGGTGAAACATTGTGATATAAGATTTTATTTATGTGTCCTATGCGTACACTTTAATATACAAAACACCTGGAACATTCTTTAAATAATTGTGTTCGTAGAAATAATTGTGTACATAACTCGTTTGAAAGTGTATTTTATGCACTTGCCAAATATATTATCCATACAGATTAATCAGACTATTTTTTTACTTAACTTCAGTACATCTCTTACTACTAAAACTATTTTTATCAATGGAAAAAAAGAGCCGTGTTCTCGTATGTTTTGACGCATTTTCGGCCTCAGCCCATCGGATCCCCCCTCTATATATATATATATATATATATATATATATATATATATATATATATATATGAATTTTGCTTAGAATTGCTAATCCTACAATTCTCTATTCGTGCTTGCTGACTGAGAAAATAAATACCGAAAATCGTCACTGTCTCCTGGACTATACAATAGATGATGATGAGAACTTTACAACAAATACACTTTTATGATGGCTAGTTGGGGATGTGGGTATAGATTATAGATAATGGAAATTGTTTATTTTTTATTAAACAATAAATTTGTGTTTTTATCTGACGGTGTACCAAAGAATTTTATTTTAACTTTTTCATTATTTTATCGTTTTATTTATAATTTTTTAATAAAACCTTAAGAAAAAAAATCAACAAACGTGTATCAAAAAATGATATTACAAGTTTTATTTAACGTAGATTTTTTAATTCTTTTTATATTTTTATAAATTAACTACATAAATAATAATCAAGCTTCATGTGCGCACATGTTATTTGTAGTTGGAATATTCATAAAGTATTCATATGTAAATGAATCCAGGTATTCGAATACAGTGGTATTCAAATACTTTTTTTTCTTTTTATTCGTATATTGATTATTCGAATACAATTTAGAATACAGTATTTAGGATTCGTATTCGAATACCGGATTTCAGTATTCGACCCAACTCTGCTAATGGCTATTCAGGACCAGGTAATTAACACCAATAATTACAAAAAATATGTGATTAGGGACCCAAACACCAGTTCGGACAAATGCAGAAAGTGTCAACAAGTACCAGAAACCATACAGCATATAACATCCGGCTGTAGTACATTGGCTAATAATGACTACCTAAGGCAGCATAACCAAGTATGCAACATTATTCATCAGAAATTAGCTATCAAGTTCGGACTGCTTACCACATATACACCATACTACAAATATCAACCACAGAAAGTACTAGAAAATGACAATTATAGACTCTACTATGATAGGACTATTATCACCGATAGGCAGGTGACGAACAATAGGCCTGATATCGTGGTGGTGGATAAAAATGTCCAATTTGTACTTCTGGTTGATGTCACGGTTCAGATTAACAACAACGTTCTGACAAAACATCAACCAAAAAAGGTTGACAGCTGTGTGCACGTAGTTTAGATTCAAAAGGAAAGACTTGTATTTCGTGCAAAACTTTTAAATTAATAAATGCAAAGCGCTTTCGGTATTGTGCCATCATCAGTGCTTATTGTTCACAAACATATCCAACAAGTTCTTAGTCATCCTCGCTCCCAAAATTAGATATTTTAAGATATTCACAACTTGCTAAATCATAATTATTATTATTAGTAATATTTTCAAATTTAAATTGCTTTATACGTACATTTTTAATATTGTTTAACCGTGTCCATATGACAGACTTCTGTACCTGAACAAAATCAAAAACAAAATAAGGAACCATGTATAAAAAATGTGGTCTGAAGCAGAAAAACTGATTCTCACCTGGTCGTATGTTGGCAGAGAATAAAATCTTGCAGCATCCCTGGTTGGAGGCAATCTGGCGTGGTTTATGTTGAGCTTAACTGCGTCCCTAGTGAACAACTGGAGGCGAAGACCGCTAAGATTTTGCGATTCTCTGTTGTTACTATAAAGTAAAACGAGGAAGGTCTCTCCTGCGTCGGCAATCGGGTGTGGCATTGAAGGAAACCTCTGTTTTTGTTCGAGGCGTGGCTATTTTTTTATTGTCGATAGAAATTTCTTTTTTCCTTGGTCAACAGGTGCTGATGTTGTATCACAACCGCTAAATGCGTAAATAAACAGTGTTATTCCGGGTTTTAATAATTATGTAAAGGAATTTGTCGAGTAGGTGACATCTGGGTTTTTTCCTATCCCACATTTTATAAATATTATATTGTTATTTGGTCTGTTTGTTGGAAATATGTGATCTCCTTCATCTCGTGACCAACCACAAAGTAAGACCAACAAATATATATCCTCGTCAACGATCTTCACTACTTAGTAGTGTTACGTTGTAATCGTCACTCCCTTTTAATAATTACAATATTTAATTAGTTCAAATATTCCAATATATTCTAATACCCCCTTGTCAAAAATATTCTAATACTTTTTGAGCGCCCCTCATATTTGGAAATATAGATATTATGTTAAAACGGGAATTTGTCTCTGTCTGGGATATTCTACCAATGATGCGCTTTCTCTAAAAATCAATAATTACGGTCAGATGTTGTGCGCATGCCTGGCTTATTTATGGATGGGGAATATTCACGTTTTCACACATTTGGTCAGCTGTTGGCTTTTGAAATAT